ATCCATCAATCAATCCATATCTATCAACCAACCAATCAATTAGTATATCGATGAACAACACTAGTTCGAAACTTATCGACTGCATAATTAATAACCAACCAATCATGCGAACAAACAAACACTCAGACTAATGATCAAACATTCATTCGATCAATTAACAATCAACATCAACAATCATACCATCAATCAATCAAATATCACACCAATACGTTTATGGACTCCAAACAGCAGTCAGGAGTTTGCGCAGGCGCTTCAAGACGGGGGGTTACAGCTTGTTTTTCTTGAGATTTTAAGAATGTGAAACAGACGCTTGACTGCAAAATTAATAGCATTGTTTTTGGACCACACAGAACAAACTCTATGGACGAAAATGTGTTACCTGCCACACTCCCCTTGTCCACACCCCCTGATAGCCGATGTTTTTACACCATCCAGAAGGACAGTCGATGTTTATCGACCCTCTAAACCGAACGATTGTTAGTGTTTACCTTTATTCCTAGGAATAAGAGCAGTAACTTTATGATATACATCTTGTACTTGGTGGGATTTAGTGACATCAAGTCTGAATGTAGTCAACTTGTTGCTTGCTTCTTCCTTTAGCTCCTTCTGACTTTCATCGGTCAGGCAGGTCGCAATTACGTGAAAACCAAGCTGATCTAACCGAATTGCAGCCATTTTACCGAATCCTCTATCACAACCAGTAATGAGTACATATTTATTATCAGGGTTTTGTACTCGACCACCGTGGATAAGCTTAGAAACCAAGTATAGAGTTCCTATTATCACAACGACAACGGCAATTGCTACTTGAGGACAGTTAACAGCCTCGTACAGAGCTTCCATGATGTACCTGTAAGATTGAAGCAAAATATGAATAAGTTGTGCACAGAACCGTGAAATCTCATGGTTCACTAACGTAATTGCGTGACGCGGACGAGCTTGTTTACCAGGTGATAGGGTCACGCTACCAGGAGGATCACCCGGCCTACGAAGAGAAGTAAAAACACAATAGCCCTGATCCTTATCATAACATGCGAACTTGACAAGCGTGCATGGGTCACCCCGAGAGTAGGGCTAGCATTATAAACGGACGTTGCAAACAGCATTTAATATATATAAATTGCACTCGAAACAAGAGTCAAATCACATCTGAAGATGGGATTTACACCTCTAACCCCTGCTCCCTTACTTGTTTCTATAGGAACAGCTCCGACGCACATATTTTATATAATACCTAGGAAAATATACACCGGTACTAACMACGCTCATGTAACCCTCGTAAAAATATATATAATTTTGCTTTTTGTTTATACATCTCATGTTTTTTTAATAAACAAATCAATACGATTAGATAAAATATCTGATGTAAAGATTAAGTACTGGTCCGTGTACATCTGTAACAAAAGAATTCATTATTTCAACATTCCTTACAAGCCAGRTGGACATTTGCCTGTCATCATAGAGGGATAGCATGTAGAGAAGTCACTTTCGGTAATTGTGAATAAAAGTCGAGTAAGTTGAAGATGTTTGGCTACTATCACTACGTAGTAATTCATGTCAACTTTAACCTTTATGTATATTAGCGTAATTAGCTACAACTATAGTCAGGATATATAACGATTTCAATAAACCTTTCAATCATTAAAATGATTTTAATCATTTTAATGATTTAAAAACTTTAAAAAGTATTCAATGCCTAAATGCTTACCAGTTAGATTGTATTCTTCGATAAGTAAGGCACTACTTTAGATGGACAGCAGAACAGAATTCAATTTCGACACGTGTCGTTAACGTGTCCAAATCGAGGTGTSAAGATGGGATACAAGATACTATGATCTCCCRGTGTGCAATTCGATCCTCTCCTCCCATGAGCAATTTACGAGAAGATGACGGTAAACACTCAATTCCATACCTCAGCATGTATTGCGCATTGCTTTACACTTGCGCGAAATATGCTTCTTTATAGAGGGTATGCAKTTTGAACACACCTTCCGATATCGGCGCCTTAAATTCGTTTTACAYAACGCTGAGCTCTTTCATCATTTTGCATACAATGAAAAGAATGTATTTCATAAAAATACACTAGTCATAAAAAAAGTATTTACACAAGATGGAGTTAGCGAAATATACAGGAGAAGCCGACGGGGTCTGTTCTTCTAAGTAACTGTTCTTGTACGAATTTTTTCCTGGGAGAAAGGGATTTTGAGCTACATTGTTGACAATCTCACAAGCAAATGTGGTGCCCTTCCTTTTTTAAAATAATTTTGTTCCTGGCAAACGTTTTAAACGTCAAAAAAGCTTATATATATTGTTGTTATGRCCAAAGACGGCGTATATTCTTTTAGTTTGGAAAGTTTTATTTTCCTGGCAATTCTTTCCTGGGGAGTTCTTTTTTCCTGAATTTCTCGCTGGCAACCAGTTGTGACTTACAGCTGGCTGGGACATGAGAACACATATATTTCTCCCAAAAAACCGTCGGCTCCTCCTAAATACATATATCAAATCATTATTCACAATTTTTAGCGTCTGTCTTCGTGCATTGGATAG